GGCATGTGCATTAATATTATATTATATTTAATGTTTGTTATATATGTTATAATGCAATATGCTGTTGGTGTTCCTTTAAATAAATATATAATTTTTATAATCTGTATCATTCTTTGAAGAGATCAATAGCTTTTATTCATTCATTCGTTTATTCAAAATTAACTAATTAATTAATATGGTAATAAAACTATAATAATAAGTTAAAAGTGAAAATATCACGTATGAAAAAAAAATCTAATTGAGAATATATATATTCTTTATTGCACTAAAATATACAGTAACAACAATAAGTTAATAACAATGTTAGCAAAGGCGAACTTATCTCTAAAAGAGATTTCTTCCAGTCAACCTAACGCAGTGGCATAGGAAGTAGTGTGTGGGCAGTAATAGTGCTAAACAGAAATTAAAATAAATATTTACATAAATAATAAATCATTATATATATATTTGAAAGATACAATATTAAAACATACATATGAATATAAACCTACATAAATAAGAATATATATATACACATACACACACTCATACACACACATATATACACACGTACATACATATATACATATGTTAAATACAACATATGTATATATGTATGTCACCTGTTTTAAAATCAAATATAAAATACTTTTAATCGAGCCTACAAATACGTTCGCATGATTACATTTCATTGCCTCGTATGTGAACACTTATTGTTGCTGTTGTAAAATTAATGAGATATTGATTCATACACTGTGTTACTTGATAGGACAGCAATTGGAAACTCCAATTATTTTACGGAACAGAACAATTGTATATTTGTTCCGTTAAGTACTTTAAAAATTTAATTAATACATAAAAACATATAGTTTACTAGTATGTACACATTATATTTTATTGTAATAACGATCGGATTAATTTACATGTATTTTAGTTATTTAGTTGAGAAAGCTAGACTGACGCAACCGCGAGCCTTACAGCCGCTTACGACTAATGGTCCCGGATTGTCCCGAAACTAGTTGGCTTCTTCAAGTAAAATAAAAAAAATGAGTAAAAAGATTAAAGAATATTTCTTTTATGGTACTTAGAATGATAAAAAAAACTGATGGACCACTTGTTGTAAAGTGGCTATAGACATGAGCAGTATCATGAATATCACATAATTTACTGCTATGTTTATGGTATCCCTCATGCGATGGCTATATTCGGTCTATAATAATAAAAAAATGACATTAAAAAGATAGCTATATTGTACAAGTAATTAATATTTATGTACTAGCTGAGTCGTTGAACTTCGTATTACCTACAACGCCATCTATTAAAAGTATTACGAAGTAGTGATTACTATACAAAGCCTATTTCAAACTATAACTCTAATTTAGGGGGGGGGGGGGGGGCTATTCTTTTCTTTTATTAAACCGATATATTATAATGAATAAAATGTCAAAAAAAAATTCAAGTCTGTCAAATTATTTTTGAGTTTTAGTGAGACTAACGAACTGAAACTCTTTTTGATATTGGTCTATAGAAGACTTTATTTTTAGACACGTGATACGATGATCGAAAAAAAAAACGGTCAGAAGGAGAAAATTTGAAATTTAATGGAAGCATTTAAATCTCTTTATTCATTCATATTAAATCCCTTTTTTATATTAAATCGATCATGTAATAGCGGTCTTTGTTTTCATTGTCCAATTGGGTATGAGATTCAAGTATCCATATCCTATTAACTTATCATTGAATTTAACATAAAATATTTTACTATATAATTAAAGATTGAGATAGAAAATATTTTACTAAATAATTAATGCTCCTTTCCACTCAGTGTTAAATTCAAATAATATCACTGTTGATATAATAATCTGTTCAACATTATCATCATCATCATCACCATCATCATCATCATTTCAGCCATTATCCGTCCTATTCAACATATAATCATCGAAATGGGATTATCTTGTGAAAGATTAAAGTAAAATATGGGCGTCGACTTAACAGTCTCTCCCTGTTTTGTTTTAATCTATTAAAAATACTTGGAAAATTATTCATCTAAATTGCTATTTAAATCCGTGACGTTGAATTATGAACATTAATATAATACTTATGAAATATAACTATGTTTTTTTTTAGACAATATTTTTTTAAAATGTTAACTAAAATGTTCACGTCCCCTGGAGTAGACTTTGACCTGTATCAGGTAATACGATTCAATGTGGGAAAATACCAAGGGAAAATTGTCAACTGGCAATCTTTTGTTAGGTACTTGTTCTTTTTTTAATATGCTACAGGGAATTGAAAACAGCTAACAAAAGATTGATTCAAAGTGGATACTATACAATGGACTATAAGTACCAACTACAGACAGTATTAATATGTTTGAAATGTTTAAAGATGTTTATTATTAAACTAGATATTTCCCACGGTTTTAATCACCTGTATTATTTTATAATTCGCCATGTAGGTACCGGCATAGAATAGGCCACCCCTTCCTTTTTCGTGGGTATCGTAAGAGATAATTAAGGGAGCTTATAGTTGAGGGATGAGCAGCAACGTCACTCTTAAAGCATCTCTAAAACCTTAATTGCGGTTGCTAACCCACCTGCCCAGCATGGCTACTACTGGCAACACTCTCTTTATGGGAAAGGCTTATGTCTATCAGTAGACAGTTAGTGGATGATGCAATAAAAAAATATATTCTATAAACTATCTTGTTTCTTAGGTTAGAATATAACTCACCTATGTATCAAATTTCATTGAAATCCGTTCAGCCGTTATTGAGTGATAAACAGACAAACATATAAATATACAAATATCCAAATAGACAAATATCCAATTTTTCACATTTATAACCATTAGAAGGGGGGGGGGGGAAAGGAATTGTTATGGAAACTATCATGGTTAATTCCTGATGAATTTATCATGATGGGCTAACTGGCCTGTTTTCATTCTCATCTATCACCCTTCACTGGTGCTCCGCCAGCGTATCCCGTTAGCGCAGACGGGGTTACTATACCATTTTTATCCATCAAAAAAAAAAAACCATTAGAAGGATCACAGTTAACTGAATGGATTTAAATAAAATTTTATATACAAGTAGTCAATATTCTAAATTAAAACACGCAATGCTGTTTTATGACAGAAAGGGATAAAACATGTTTTTTTTTCTATTTACCCGAGTCATGCATGATCAGTGCCAAAAGTCAACACCATTCGCTCTCAGTTCAATTAACTTGAGCTAATTAATTACTATTGATCAATGAGATCAAGCAATATTGATGTCCATTTTTAGGTTGATGAGCAATTCGACAGTGTAATATGATTATTATTATTATTATTTAATATATAATATACTCGTATGATGGTGAGTAAGTATGATCAACACGTATAATCGATTTCATTTTTCGGAGAATAATATTAATTAATATGATATCAAATCAGATTAATAACTGATGAACATTTTTATGGAGATATATTAATACTGATGTAATTTACTGATATAATTGCGTCAGTTTTATTAGAAAATAGGTGATCATTTATAGTGACTGGTACCACAAATAATAATGCAGTGTTGCATTTAAGCATAGGCTACATAGGCTATAACCCGGGGGTCTCCACTACAATGGCATCTCCGTAATGGACTCTTGCCACAGATGGACATAATTAATGAGAAAATTAGGCAAACGGAAAAGTGAAAACTTAATTTTCTACCAAATGTGCTGAAATTTTATGACTAGCAACACTGTCTGGGGATTATACTTAGTCAAAGAAGTTATTTTGAAAAAAAAAACACAGGGATAGTTATTTAAGGCCATTTGTAAGAGTGGAATGGATAAGCAAATTGCAAGGATCTAAATGACAATTTTTTAGGCAATATATTTTATATATATAAAATCGGCCCCCACTGTAAATCTAGCCTAGGAGCCCACAGACCCTAAATACGACGCTGTAAAGATTCCTATATCGAAACTAGTATTCTGAAATATTATTTGTAATAATTTTTAATTCAAATTTGTAATTCAAAAGAAACGAGCTGTCCTTTTTCTTATAAGAAATAAAAATAAAATCCAATAAGTTACGACTTAATACAAAACCTACCGATTTCCGCCATTAGTAAATCTGTTAGGAGAAAATACCAGAACAGTGCTAGAAACATACGTATATTTTTATAAATATTAATAATTTTATTATCTTATTCTTAAGATAAATAACATACAATTTAAAATTGAATAGAAAATAAATCAGTAGCTGATATAAATAGTTTACATTTTCTAATAACTGTTCTGTAAAGAAAACAAATAAAATAAAAAAAAATTAAAACAATGAAATGTAAAACGTCATCAATCAAATTCCTTCAAAAAGATATATATATATATATATATATATATATATATATATATATATATATATATATATATATATATATATATATATATATATATAACAATAACTTTAACGACATTCTTTAAGGAAAAAGAAGCTAGAATCTCTATACTCATTTGTATGTAAGTGTTTGATTGATGACATTACATTATACACATCGAAAATACACACACACAATAATATCTTGGAAACATCAATATTTCTCGATTCACCTACACACAATATACCTGTAAAAATACGTAAAATACGTCAACTAAGCTAATTTGAACATTTCTTTCAGCCAATAACAGTTACATCTAAATAACATCAACCTACGTTAAAGAATTGAAGTATACTTTTATACTTACTGTGAAATTATAATTTTGCCTACATAATTTTTGAAAAAAGAATTGGAACATTTTAAAATATTTTAAAATAATTTCTAGAATTGTAATTTTTAATTTCTTTTCAACAAACTTTTGATCCAAGAATCAAATCTCCAATTGTAATTTTATAGCAATGTTTTACGCGAAGGATTGCGTAAACATCTACCTAAAAGTCTAACGTTAATACTATTTTATTCTTCTTCAGTCCAGTGAATCTTTTTAATATTTGTAGTTGTGTACTTACGGAAGGATGCGGCGGATGTTCTTGTCCCTTGACATTTTGCAGCTGTTTATTCTGCGCTGTTGGTGTCCGCTCTCCTGCAGCGCTGGATGCGCTCGCAGCGGCCCCAGCGCTGCTACCAGCTGGAGATTTCGCTTGTGGGGAGCTTGTTGATGTGGTCCTATAGAAAAATAATAGTTTTATTATCAGAGGGAGACTTTGTACAAAAGTCGATTGCTTGGGTACCTCTGTCCCATTCGTGTTTCAACCGTGAAGCAGTTGTGTTTGCATGGCTGTGTTTCGGTTTGAAGGGTGGGATATGGCGTGAATTTACTGGGTACAGAGGAATAACACCTGAGTCCTCAGGAATAGCAACGCATGGTGGGTATCATGGGCGAAACAGTATACTCTGTTATGTCCATGGTACTGCTCATGTCTATAGGCGACGGTTACCACTTTCCATCAGGTGGGCCGTCAGCTTGTTTGCCATTCTAAGTTTAATAAAAAAAAAAAAAAAAAATTTAGTTTTTCGTTTTAGAACAATGTGAACAGTAGCCTAAGCTTGTTTACTCGACCTTAGTTTGTAGGTTCTAAGTTTGTTTGCCATTCTTATTTTGTAGGTTTGTTTACCATCCTTGCAGTGATAATGCTTTTTATAAACATAGTAAGTTAGCTAACTAGTATAAATAGAAATACAGAATTAAGGAAGAGTAAAGAAATATATATATATATATATATATATATATATATATATATATATATATATATATATATATATATATATAATTCTATGTAGGTATGTATTAAATATGTATTTTTTTGTTTTATGTTTCTGGGGATGGCAAACGTAATTAAAAGAGCGTCTATACGAAATATGATAAAAAATGGTTTATTCAATTTTTTATGTATGTGTCTGCCATATATATGTATGTGTTTAAACTGGAAATGTACTTACTCGAGTTGCGCTCTGCGTGAACAGCACATGGAACAAAGAAATTAAATAATTTAGTTTATTCGTAACTTCACATGAGATGCAATAAAATGTAGAGTAAGCAAATTGGCAAATTCCTGTATCTATGTAAAATAAAAACAGTAGCAACCAATTATCAGATAATTATTATTAATAATTAGACTTCAGATTATTTGCAATATTAAAATGCCAAAATATGCATTACAATATGGAATAAATAAGAGTGAAATATACATATAATATGCATAATCAAAATGCTACGTATTTATTAATAGAATTGACGTTTATTTTAACAATATAATTAAACCAATCAGCTGTAATTCTCATGGAAATACATAATTAAATATTTTTCTGAATTTTCTAGAGCAAACTTGTAGCGTTTGTCACTTAATATTAATTTGTAGGCTTAAAATAATCTCTCTCTGTCATCTGACGTCACAGGGCAGGAGTTGAAATTTCGCGCCATTTCTGCAGAAACCTCTTTAGGCAGTGTTTGGCCGGTGCCGTTGATATATGCGTTAAACTTTTTTTATTTCTTCAACGCCCAGATTTTTATGTAGAATTGAATGTTTACGAGTAATATAACACGCCTAACATATTTAACTATTAAAATGAGGATTATCAATGGAAAAGTATGGAAACATGAAATATCGCTATACAATTATGTTCCATTAAAAAAAATAAAAAAAAAACGAGTTCAATTGTGTCAAAACCAGTTATTTTTATTTGGGATTTAAACTATTGAATTGATTTAAAAAAATCTGTAAGTATATCCTTTCAGATAAAAAAATGAATTTTCCAAATCGGTTTATAATTAAAGGAGTAATGAGGTAACAAACATGAAAAAATACAACAGAATTCAGAAACTCCTTTTTTTTTAAAATTGTTTGATAAAACTATAAAAGTCATATATACTTGTATACATATAATCCAATGTCGATTAATAATAATCCACGGAAAAGTATTTTTTACTATTTTCCTTAATTCATCAGAAATGCGAAGAAAACATACAATTTTAAACTTAATCAAAATACAACTGATTTAGATCAAAATACTGTAGTTAAACTGGCAACATTTGTGTCACCTGTCAAATTTCAAAGAAAAAATATTAAGAAAAAAAAGAAATTATGTAACCTTATCTGCCAGTCTTAAGGAAAGCGCCCAGCGCCAATCGCATCCTTGATCAGAATAATTCTTTTCACGATTTTAATACCGATTTAGATAATAAACACAAACACGGTGGCTCAAAATAAATCGCTAACACTTCAAGTATCAATTTTAACCACCTCGAAAAGGCTTAGTGTACACAATTGTAACTGTATTGTGGGTAACGAGAGGCGCATTTGAGCGCCTTTATTTCACGGGCGATTACGATCGACGGCCGACCGGCGACCGGTCCGGATTACGGCGGGATTTATAACCCAAGGGTTGTGTAAAATTCGACGCTTATAAATTTTTGTTCTTTTTTTGGGATTTCATACCCGTACAGTATTTATGGGACCATGTAATTATTATTAACTTGCGATGCCAGTTCAGGCGGTTTCTGTGTCAAACCCAAAGCCTCTGTAGCATGGAAAAAGGAATTTGCGAGCTATAAAATTGGCAAATAACTTATAATTAGAGATTTGTTTAAAAAAAGATAACCACTTTAATCAAGATATTTTTTTACAACGAAAGTGGCCAAACAATTAAACGCGTACAGCTCGTTTAAGAGTAAACTGTCACTACCTATAGTCTATGGTTAAATTTAAATTTAGAACGCAGAATAGTGTACCTGTCAAAGCATAAATTAAGAATAGTACCTGTAGTCTTCTTTATAAGTAGATTTAGTATCGTATGAAGTAGTTTATGCAAGGTAAACAAATATGACAACTTTAATCATCACAAATTTACATGGGACTAATACCCTATCGTACTATAAGAAATTTTAATAAATCTTTTCTGATTTAGGTATGTAATCGTATGACATAGTCACAAATTGAGAACTTCCTACTTTTGGAAATAGCTCATAAAGTTTTAAAATTAAAAGACACTTGTTTATGTCGGAAATATGTACTTTAAAATGAGACGTATCTTGTAATTTTTACAACATTACCAAGGTTCTTTTTACGATGGCTGGTGATTTTAATATAAAATTTATGGTTTTTAGATGTTACGGTGCATATAGTTTTAAACTATCTACATTGTTTTAAACTAACAAAGTAACTAACTATATATTCTGTAGAAAATTCTTATTTTATGACTTTAGAAACATATTATTATAATGCAGCTTGGATAAGGCGACGCATGTGAAGGAAAGAGATAATCAGAATACACTGTGACACACACGGTACTCCCCTAAAGTTTCATAGTACCATACCTAGTATTTTTACTATCATATATATATATATATATATATATATATATATATATATATATATATATATATATATATATATATATATTTTTATTTTATTTTATACAAAAATCCACAGCTCTTAAAAAATAACTTACATGCTAAGTCTCTTATAAATACAGCCAATAACGGATTTTATTTATACAAACAAAAATGTTGATTTCAAAGCGAGGTATTATATATTTAACTAAACGACAGGTAAATAATCACAACTGATAAGTAGTAAAAACAGAATTAGGCCCTTTAGAGATATTAGCTAATGCTGAGAAAAAAGGAAAAAAAAAATTGATAATTTAGAAAAATCTACGTTCTTTTTTTAAATACTAGCATAAACAATATATCGATATCTTTTTATATCTATATTAATTAGTAGCTATACAGAACACTGTATTTATTTATCTATTTTAATTGTTCCGACGAAAATGGCCAATTAAAATTCACCGCGTGTAGCCAGCGTAAGTAACATATTGTAGCGACATTGTCAGCTATTGTGTGTTCGCTTTGTATACTGTAACAGGTAACTAGTAATGGGAGAATGTGGGCAGGCGTGGGATGGGAGGCGAGGGGAGAAAGGTAATTACAGAACGGTCGCCTTGAGGTGGAATATTCATGAATACTGACAATTATTGCAGTGACTCTCGATATATTCACTATTCCGGATGTAAAAGTGGTTGAACGACGCATTTCCCCGTTTTCCCGTGGGTATCGTAAAGCCACTAAGGGAATTTATTGGTCGAGGGATGAGTAGCACCGTGCTTAATAAAACATCACCAAAATCTAATTTTGATAGCTAACTCGCCAGCCAAGCGTGATACTACTAGCAAACCCCCCTTATGGGGGAAGCCTATTTTCAGCAGTGGACAGTCAACGGCTGATATAATGATGATGATTATGAACGTTGCATGGGTGATAGCTATCTCTATAGCTCAAGCGAGTTCATCATCTCTATTAAATAAATGAATAGAATAAATATATTGAAATTATTAGGTTTTATCAAGGTTATCATAAAGGGGATTGTCATATCCTAATCTTGGGGAGAGGCATTGTTAGTAACAAAGATTAGTCATCCCATTTTTAGTAATATATCCTATCGGATATATCTCCTGATGGTCTCTCTGGAAATCATTGTGATTAATTCCTGGTGAAATCGTCTAGCCAATTAATCAATCTTCATCTTCATCTACAACCTTAACTGGTAGCCACCAACATGTAGCAATAACCCCGACGGTTTTTTAATGAGTGATAATGGAGTAGTAACCCCACCTGCGCTATCGGTATACACCGGCAGGGCACCAGTGAAGGATGATAGGTGACGATGAAGCAGGCCAGTTGGCCCATCATGACGAACTCCACTAGAATTAACCACGATAGTTTCCAAGGGGAACCGCGTGGAGGTCGACCTGATAGGATGTATTGCTGGAAATGGGTCAGTTAGACTCCATTACCAACAATCCCCCCCCCCCCCCCGCAGACAGGACTACCACCTCATTACAGCACTATAACAAAGAAATATAAGATCTTTATAGTTATAAACAACACTTACTGGTGTATGTATGGAAATTATTGCTACATTTAATGCATTATCACTTAGAGAAATTGTTATTTTTATTTAAAGTGATATCACCCGTGACAAATAATGAATAGCGATTTTCGCTTGCAATGAGTTAATGTCGCACTCGCTACTATTTGCAATTGAAAGTGACATATGAACTATGACTTATGATAAGAGCGAGCGAATAGAGACTTTAAGGCAATGTGTTAAAGTTTTTATTCCCTCGCACTTTACGGTCCAGTCGACCTTCTGCTGCGAACTTCACTACCAACCAAGCGCAGCCAATGACATACAAATAAATCTGAATGCAGCTACTACCTGCGATTTTATTTAATGTATTCGCAGTTTATATGAAGTGACGTCCAGCTTATCCTTTTAATTCCAATGGAAAAGATAAACTGGATAGAAAAAGTAACTAACAAGGAAGTCTTGAAAAGGGTGAATGAGAAAAAAACATTAATAAAAACAATAGAGAATAGAAGAGGGAAAATGCTGGGACCACCTTATACGACATGATATTTTTTTAAAGAGGTACCAGAAGGAAAAATAGAGGGCAAAAGGAGAAGGGGAAGACCGAGAAATAACTACATGGGACAGATAAAGGACACACTAGGTGTCATGTCGTTTAGAAAGGTCAAAGATATGGCCTAAAATAGAACTGGCTAGAAGAGAATGCTTAAATTAGTTGCCGTGACAAGAGGAAACTTTTAAATAAGAAGAAGATGAAGAGATTTAGTTGGAGTGACATACGATTTCGGATAGCATATGAGATTTCAATCACATGTGAAATATTCCACGCCTAATAATCTTAATTTAATAACTAATAAAGATAGTGTATACTGAAAAATAGCACTACATTTAATGCATATACCACTAGATGGCACTAATTTGATAGTATAATGTTTTACATTATTATGTTGGCACCTTTATGCTATGTACCTACAAATCCTTGATTAACGAATCTGATTTGCATTTGACTACATTTTTATTATAAACTTAGTTCAAAACAGACCCCTATAATTAAGTTGCCTTTTCATTATAGATGCTATCTAACAAATTGTTTGGTTTTCCTGAATCCCGCTAGCCGCCAGCGTTACCGGAGTTTGTTTGAAGTTAACAATAATAGTAATGTTTATCATAGAGCAAAAAGATTAGATGAGCGAAAGCTTTTGGGTATTTTACTTCGAGATCCAATGATACTTACAAAATTAAACAACTTTCTCTAATGGAGGTCGAAGGTTCGCATACAAAAAATATTCTTTATACAAACCTCCTTGTAATATGATAGCTTCAGTAAGAAAGGTCAATAAGATTGTGTTCGATGGAAAAAAAACAGGCTTTAATTGTGGAAAAGCCAGTTGTTTTGATTTCAAAATTAAACTACTGGACTTATTTTGATATTTTTTTTATGAGACTAATCTATAAGTACATCCTTTCAGATGAAATTTTTTTTTTTTTATACAACTTAGAATGGTTTACATTGACGAAGTATGAGGTGACAAATATTGAAAAAAAAAAACTGTATTGAAAACTTTCTTCTTTTTGAAGTCATTTGAAAAGTATTTGACTCATAATCACTTAGAGAAATCCACTTTAGTTGGTAAGAAAGCTGACCTTGATATGGCATGGAAGGTGCGCGTTCGAGTCTCGCCTGCTTCAAAAAATTTTCATTACCCTACTTCTAATATATTAATTTGCAATCATGCAGTAAATTGTCAAGTGTCTAATTATAAGTCAAAATGTTTAAATTCAGTTCAGTTAAATAATTTCTTGGATTTTTGGTTATTAAAAACTTTGCCCTTTCGAAACGTGCTTCCTTCCGTTCTCATAGGAATTTCCAAAAACTGTATCTTAGCAGGAGTGTTTATTAAATGTAATATGAATAATAACTTTTTTAATTCTATTTAAAGATAAGGTGCTATTATTTTATCAGCAGTTAACTGTCCACTGCTAAATGTAAGCGTTCCCCTGAAGACGAGTTTTGCCAGTAGTTGCCACGATTGGCAGGCGGGTTGGTAACCGCAGTTAGTATTTTAGTGACATTTTAAAAGGAACGCTGCTGCCTGTTCCTTTATCATTAAGTTCCCTAACTCGCTTCTTACGACACATACGGAGAAGGAAGTCTCACTCCTTTCTATTCTGTGCCAAAACCACACAGACAAAAATAAAATACTACTTAAAATTTCAATAAAAAAAAAAATTATAAAAGATTTTGACATAATAACATAAGATTGTTTCGCAAAGAAAACCGTTGGCACAATTGTGCCAGTTATTTTGATTTAAAAACTAAATAACTGAATCGATTTTAATAGAATTTCTATGAAATCAATTTGTAAATATATTCTGAACGAAAAAAAAATTTTTTTCAAATAAATTTACAACTGACATAGTTATGAGGTAAGAAATATAAAACAATACAACCGAATTGAGAATCCTCTTTTTTTAAACCCTTAAAAGCCTGATTTTTTAAATCAAATTAAAAAAATATATAAGGGTACACTTATACTTTTACTGTGTTTACTAATGGGGAAAAATAGTAAAAAAAAAAAATCAAAATGATATATTTAAATATTTATTTTGAAAAAAAAAATAAACATTTGGTAACATGCAAACAGCCAAATATTAAAATAAAATCGATTGTAGGCGCCCAATGCGATTTATAACCCCGGTATTGAATTTGAAACTTCAGGTATTTAAGGGGCTAAGTCATTTCCAAGAGTCTACTAGATTAACTTTTTTACGTTTTTACTAGATTCTCGTCTCTCGGGGTATTCAAATAGTTTGTTCCAGAAATTAAATGGCGAAATATTAATTAATATTTAAGGTGTTAATATCACAATGATCAGCAATGTATGATTGATGATGTCTCCTTTGTTTTACAAGTATTTAGATCCCGCAATGATCGCTTACCATCAAGCTAGCAGTAATTGCTTGCTTGTCATTTTTATTTTTGAAATATTGACTTTCGACTTCAAATTTTAAGAAGTAATTTAAAAAGTATTAATTTAAAAGTAATTTACACAAAAAAAAAAAAAACAAATTCAATCATGTCAGTCAATCTGTTATTTTGATTTAAAAATCAAACTATTAAATATGTTTTGATAGAATTTCTATGGGACAAAGCTATGGGAGAAAGTATTTCTTGTTCTAAAAAGATAATTTTTCAAATCGGTTTATAAATGACGGAGTTTTTAGGTAACAATAAAAAAAAAATACAACGGAATTAAGAAAATTATAGCGTCCTTTTTTTTAAGTTGGTTAAAAATGTGCCAAAGATAGGTACATAGGTACATTCGAACACGTATATTCCGCTGCACTTTTCCTGCTACCGGTGTGCTATTTCGGCGCACTCTATTCAACAGCTTCTTCCGTATTCACCTCACACAATTCCTTTGTGTGGAGCGCAGATTTTAGCAGAACAGACAGTGATGATGATAGTTCGTTTTTATGAAAACAAACATAACACAATTTCAAATACGATTTAAGTTTTAAATTTAAAATTTAAATTTCGCACGTTTTACTGGATTCGTCATATTTTCTTGTATGTGTTATGTATATATATATACATATATGTATGTGTTAAGTCCGCCAAATGTACATAGAATTTTACTGTGCAATTAAGTTTAAATAAATAAATATATATCTCAGACAGTTCATGTGTTTTTATGTTTTCCTTTGCTGGTATATCCATATGAAAAACACTATAGATTTATTAAAATATGCAGCATTATTGCGTGCTATGCATTAGGCTTCCTTTTGTCAGAGATTGTACTAGACGTCGTGCCTTTGAAACAGAATTCATAGTGCATGCATTGCTGTTTCACCTGCACTCGTTCGATTCGCTAAACACGTATTGGCAATTTGCCATCTTTTATTAGATTTTATTATGGCGCATACCGCATTTTTGTCGCTGACTGTACTTTCGTCCGTTTGATTGGATGTTATTTAATTTTCTGTAATTTATTACGAGGTTAACTCTATTTGTACGATGTTAGGGGCACTTAGTGATAACATTTTCTTTTCTATTTAATACTTTGTATTTTATTTATTAATTTTATATTTTGTATTTTTTATTTATTATGTACTTTGTATTTTATTTATTTATTATATAAGAATATCGATAGCGTGTTATTATACGATTTTAATACGTTTTTATATCTTTATTTAAAATGTAAACATTAATGTGAGTTTATAAAATATTTTACTAAAATAGGTTGTTTTATTGCAACTTAGAATGACAAACAAGCTGACGGCCTACCTGATGATAAGTGGTAACCGTCGTCTATAGACACGAGCAGTACCATGGACATAACAGAGCATACTGTTATGTATAAAAAAAATATACTCCTTTGGTAGTTAATTAAAAACCACGAAGCAATAAGCACGAATAGATATTTCATCTTATTTCGTCTACTTTTATAATTCGTCTCATATATGCACGCCATTTCTAACTGGTCAATTAAGCAAAAAGCGCGTCTCTATTATATGCCAAGGGAGTAATATACACCAGCGAGGTGATAATATGTTAATGTCAGCGACCTCTTACCGCCAACGAAGGGCGGTAAGTATGAAATTTAAATTTTCAAGCACCAATAACGTTTACACATGGCATTCGTTAAAAGTGATGGAAGGCACTTTTTTTTTCGTTGGATAAAAAAAATATTTGTTTACGTTACGTACTTATGTGTTAACATATATAAATATAATATTCTTTAGTATTTCTACTCTTTTATACATTTCTTTTAATAACTAAAGATTGGGTTCAACAAAAACCCATTTCAAATGTGATTTGATTGTGAAAATGTGATTTCAAAACAAGCTATTTTGGTCTAAAAACTAAACTACTAAACCAATTCTAATAATATTCTTATAAAACCAATCTGTAAGTATATTCTTTTAGACAAAAGGGAATTTTCTAAATCGGTTTGTAAGTAACGGAGTTAAGAGGTAACAAACAAAAAAAAAACAATCGAATTGAGAACCTCCTTGTTTTTGAAGTCTACTGAAAACAAATAAATGTGTAACAATAAAGTCTTACAATATAAAAATATATTTTTTTTTATACAACTTAGAATGGCAAACAAGCTGATGGAAAGTGGTAACTGTCGCCTATAGATA